CTCTTCCCCACCCCCCCCTCACCCAACTGGAAGCTTTCACACTACCATCTGGCAGCTTCTAGCTTGCCCTGCAGCCCGCATGTGCCAAGATCTAGGGTGGGAGCCGAGGGGGACACAGAGATCTCATGGATCCCCAGCCCTGCCTCATTGCTGATAAAGGCTGGCAGACCCCCACCCGCCGTTAAGCCCTCTACTATGCTACCACCACCTCCCAGCAGACCCTGAGCCAGGAGGGGACCCGTGCTTGCTCTCCCTGGATTGCCCTACAAAACGGGCGGCGGAACCTCCACTCTCAAGTGCTCCGCAGATGATGGAGCTCAGGCCTAGGAAAGACAAAGACACAAATGCACACCTGAATGGCAGATGGATCCCCCCCCCAAGCCTATTCTTCCCCACTGCCTCCTGCTCCCAGATTCTACCCCTATACGAGGAGGCTGCTGGGAGAGTGCAGTGTAGCTTCACAAGTCTCTAGCCCCCAACCCCCAACAGCTAGCTAGCTACACTGTCCCCCAGCCAAGTCCACAAAGAGTCCCACAGAACCTGACCTTTCCAGGTCCATTCTGCTCCCAGTCAAGGCCTCCCTCAAGCCTCACTGGCCTTGGGGCCAGTGATTATGCTTAAGGTACTGCATCCTATACTGTCTTAGGGTGACCAGCCCTCCTGCCCTTCATCCTATGGAGTGGGGGGAGGATGGGGGGGTTATAGAAAGCCAGCCTGTATTCCTGCTCAGTTACAGCTTGTCCATCATCCCTGGCCTGCATGTGCCTGTATGGCCACATTTTCCTCATGGACAGAGGCCCCCTCCCCCTCTGGAAAGTCTTTCCTACGGATCTCCACTCCCTGGGAACCTATTATTATTATTATTATCATTATTATTATTATTATTTATGCATTTTCAAGACAGGGTTTCTCTGTGTAGCTTTGGAACCTGTCTTGGAACTCCCTCTGTAGACCAGGCTGGTCTTGAACTCACAGAAATCTGCCTGCCTCTGCCTCTGCCTCCCCAGTGCTGGAATTGAAGACATGGCGCCACCACCGCCCAGCTTCCTGGGAACCTTTATGTAGGCCCCTTGTTATCCAGCACAGTGTAAGGACCCTCACTCCACCAATAAAGTCTTGGTGCCCAGTGCTGGACAACCCATTCCATCAGCTGATAAAGACATGCCCTGGAGTTGGGACCAGCCAGACCTGAGATCGATCCTATGCCATCCTCTAACCTGAGCTACTGCCACTAGGACCAAGCCCCTTCCTCCCCGGCCCCAGAGTCGTTTCTGTTTCAGCTCCAAGTTCTGAGACAAAACCCCAGAGCCCCACACTGGCTCAGCACTGGGAATCCAAACTTTCTTGTCCCTGGGGCCAGCACAGGTGTACAGCCCCTCCTTCCCTGGGTCCTGGCTAAGGGTGGCATCCCAGCCACCTTCCTGTGCCCCCAGAACTACCGGAATCCCTTCCCAGGGTACACAGCCTCCAAGCAGGGCTGAGCTTTCCTGCCCCCAGTCCTACCCCCACTAGCAAGCCCACAAGGGTAGTGGGGGAAGCTCCCAGAGGTCTCTGCCTACCAAACAGAGCCTCCCAGACTTGGTTCTGGGGCCTCATATTCCCTCCAATACCCCCACCATTTCTTGGTGCCCACAGTACCTCCAGGGCTCCAATCTGCAGCAACCAAGGCAGCTGGCTGCGGTGTGCTCTCAGAGCCTCCAGCCTGCCTGCCCTGGGTGGAGGAACCTGTTTTCCAGGTTTGTGGCGCCTGTAGAGGGGCCTCCTGCCTAGGGCAGGCCCCACCCTAACAGTCATCATGTCCTTGTACATGAGCTACTCCTGAGCAGGTTGTTACCCAGTCCCTCTGACCCTCTATGGTTAAAGGGAGGGCGCAATGGAAAAATGTAAGGAGCCCCAGGACTCACCCCATCTCCAAGCCCCAGGTGGTGGGGCAGGCCTCCTAGAACCCATCAGACTAAGGCAGCCTTGGCTCACCGTTCCCACAGAGAAAGTACTGTCCTGTCCCTCACCTGGTTCCCCAGATGACAGCTGACCAGTGGGAACAGGGGCTCTAGAAGTCCAGTGAAGGATGGGTCATCTCGTAACACTCCTGCTTCAAAGCAGGTGCGAACCCAATAGCACAACCCCAGGGCTGGATCACGCAGAGAAAGGGACTTATTGCACTTCCCCTGGTTTCCTGCTTCACCACCCTCTTCCTGAGTGGCGGCTGTGTGGCAAGCCCCATCCCAGACTTGATGTATACAGCAACCACCAAAGCAATAAATCCCTGCCAGGGGCAGAGGTAAGAGTTTACAAGGAATCAAAGAGACTCAGGCAAAGGAAAGCTTGTGTGTGCTGATTCACTTCATTTACTAGTCTACTAGGTAGTGTTGGAAGGGATAACCTGGGGTGGGGGTGAGGGGCACAGAGCAGAAGTAATAGGGACACCTCCTGAGAATCCACTCCCAGTTCCCTGGCCTCCCTATCAACGGAACTATGGGAGGGAAAATCAGATAGGGCTGGGTATAGAACTCAGTGGATAAAGTGCTTGTTGTACCAGTAAGAGGACCACAGTTCAGATCCAGAGCTCACCTGATGGGTGAGATGGTCCACCTGTAATTTCAGCCTTGTAAGGCAGACACTGGGGACTCCCAGAGCAAGCTAGCTAACAAGACTAGCTGTATGGGCAAGATCTGGGTTTGATTGAAATACCCTGTTCCAATGAATAAAGTGGAAGAGCAATCCAGGATGACGTCAGATATCCTTACACCACCACTACACACACACACACACACACACACACACAATATACACACATCACACACATGAACATACACATCAGTCACATACGTACATACACACACATACACATCACACACACACATCACATACACCATACATATATACATACACATCACACACACATCAGTCACATACATACATACACACATCACACACACGTACACACACATCACACACGTACATACACATCAGTCACATACATACATACATACACACACATACACATCACACACACATACACATCACACACACATCACTCATATACCCAAACATATGAAAACATACATATATACATATGCATACAACACACACGGTTATTAATTATTTAATAAAATTAGAAAACAAAGTGGCCAGAGCTAGCATTCCTGGCAAGGAACATCAGGCAGGACAACAAAATGCCCGGTGTATGAAGAATATAGTTGTTGAGGGGCAAAACTGTGAACACTGCTTCTAGGACGGCCGACCTTTGCTCCAGACGCTCCTGTGTCAGAGATGCAGAATTTCATCCTGTCCCAGATCCACCTGCATCTCTACGCCCAGACAACCCTTGTGGCTCAGCGTTAGCGTGGTGGGCTCTCAAGAGTCACCAGTTAATTGCCATCATTATTCCTGATCAACGGACCAGAAAGCTGAGGCCCACCACGTGAAGGAATGTGCAGGACATTGTCCCTTGTCCATGCACAGGGCTAGCGAGGGCCCCAAGGGGGGGCAGTCAAAGGCCCACCCAAAGACGGCCCGGTGCAGTGTCCCCAGGGAACCCCACTACAATTGATAACAGGAAGTGGCACTTGGCTCACAGATTGGGGCGGCCCTCAAGGAGCCCAGGAGGTGGATATGACAGAGTCAAAGCCAGGACTAGACCTGTCAACCACTTTGACCCACACCTCTGGTGCCTTCCCTAAAACCCTCAGGAGCCTGGTCTTCCTGCCCTCCATCCTTGGAGCAGAGGGAAAAGTTTACAAGGAGCTAGTCACAAGGCTCAGGGCCAGGACCCCTGTGCTTCAGGCAAAGAGTGATCAAAGGGAGGTGACAGGGGCATATGCTGTCTCCTAGAGTCCCCTAGACACTACCACCACCTCTGAGTCCTAAAACCCTGGAACACTGAAAAGCAAAGAGGACCCCAGGCCATATGGTCACCTGGACACCCAGAGAATTGATTTACAATGATGTAACTACTCTTCCTACCCACCCACTTCCTCTCCTTGATGAAGGGCCTCTTGTTTCCCAACCTGTGCAGGATTTCTCTGGGGTAGTACTCCCTAGCTGCCCAAGCTGGTAGAAGAAATGGGCTGATGGCGCCACCTGCTGGCCTTCCTGCGGTTTGTCCTTTAAAAAGAACCCTTGTGAGGAGGTGGCTAGGAGCGGATGTGTTATATCCACAACCCACAAACCGGGGAGCGACCTGAGGGTCAGGACACCTGTCAACAGCAGAGACGACGTCTGTGGTTAGGATTTGAGCCCATGGAGAGAGACACAAGCATCTCCCTGGGAACAGATACTTGGGATAACGTTTCTGGTCTCGCTCCCCGTGGTTGAGAGAAGCAGGTCACAGCCTCATAGTTATGCTAGAACCGAGCTTCTGAGTTTGAAGACAAGAAAGTTTCCTACGGACACAAGCAATCTTGGACCTTCGAGGAACCGGCATTTCAAACTGTTCTATTTGATTTGGCGAGAAGCTTGTGCCTCTGTCTGGGACGTGACTGCCTCCTGACAGTGGTCTACGGTATCATCTGTGGCTGTCCCACCCAAGTCGAGGAAACCAGGGCATGGGCAGCCGGAGGAACTCCAAAACAGAGCTGGAGACTTCAGCAGTCAGGTGAGATCGCGACTATCCTAAAAGGATCCACTCCCACAGTCCCAGAGACATGAACCTCCTGCCAAAAAACTGAACCTGAATCAAGCCACATCTGCGAGGCTGAGCGACTCTCAGGGTCCTGCCCGCCAAGAACCAACAACTTCCCTCTCAATAAACGGTACTCCACTACGTGGCTCCGCCCTCGAAGCGCAGACACCGCCCCCCTCTGCGCGGCTCGGCCTCAGCCCCCGCCCCCATCCCGCCTGCGTGGCCCCGCCCCGGGTCCCTGCCTCCACTAGCTCCGCCCTTAGATCCCCGCCTCTCCCGCAGAGTGGCCGCCTTTCAGGATGTCGCGCTTAGGCCCCGCCTTCCTCCGCGTGATGGTCTCAGCCTGCGCCGCACGACCGTGGCACGTCGAGCGTCACAGGCCCCGCCCATTGGACACGCCGGCGCGGTGCGAGCTCCCCGACTCCGGCCATGGCGCTGGCAGGTGCACCTGAGGTGATCCGGGCGGCGCAGAAAGACGATTACTACCTGGGAGGCCTGCGGAGCGCGGCGGGTAGCGCGCTGCACAGCCTAGCGGGTGAGCGCCCCGGGCACCCAGGCAGGCGGCAGCTCCGAAGCCCCTTAGGAAAGCGAGGATCAAAACAGACTTACACACTGCAGGTCTCTGCGCCGGGCAGCGCCTGCTCAGTGTTCCCAAACATTTGCCCGTTTACGTCCCATAGGTCCCTACAGGTTGGAGCTAACGTTGTTACTCTTACAGGGAGGCACGTGCATGTCTCCCGAAAGGTCTCACAGGCAGGGTTTTGGGAGAGCCGAGCTTTGATACTACCTAGACTTTCCTGAGGGCTCCGGAGTTACAGCACAGTTCCTCACTCAAGGCAGTTACAGCTGAGCGGTTCTTAGGAGATGGCCTTCCCTCGGAGGCATTCGTGTCAACCAGGTGGGGAGAGAGGGCAGGGCAGGGAAGCAGAGGAGCCTAACAGAGCGAGAAGTGGTGGAGGGTCGCCCTAGAAGAGGAGGGATTTGACCTGGACCTTAAACCACCCCCCAACCCGGGTTGGGGAGAGAATTTCACTGAGCCCACTTCACATCCCCAGAGATAATATTTTTCTCCTCTCAGGTGCAAAGAAATGGCTGGAATGGAGGAAAGAGATCGAACTGCTCTCAGACATAGCCTACTTTGGCCTCACTACAATTGCAGGTAGCAGTACTTGGCAGGTCCTTGGCACCGAGGGGCCCACAATCCACCCAACCCTCTGAGCAGCTCCTGGAGTTCACCTGCATGTAGCCTCAGGGAAGGAAGACCCTGACCAGACAGACTGCCCTAGTGCCTCTAGAGGCTAGCACTCAGCCCTTCTCCAGGACATCCTACACCTCCCCCTCGCTGAAGACCCAATCCAGGGCCTGTGCTTGCTAGACAAGGCAAACTTAGTCTACCACTGAGCTAAATCCCCAACCCCAGGACCCACTTCTCAGTGGCAAAAGGCAAGTCAGTACAGACCCATCGCATACTGGCCACTAAACCCTTTCTAAGTCCTTTAGAAAGAAGCCGTGGTAAGGGCCTCCGGTCACCAATGCCAACTCAACACCCAGCAAGGAAGGCAGAGTGCCTATGCCATAGATGCCAGGAGAGGGCATTGTGGGTAGCCTGCCCATCCCCCCTCCCCTGTGGACTACACTCTGGGTGGTGGGAGACAAGGCATACACCAAGTGTCTACACTGTAAGACATCCTGAGAAGTGCTGAGCTCTTCAGGGCAAAACACCATGTCTGGGGTGGAGGGGGGGCACTTCCTGGTCAGACAAAGCAAGTGACCATACACTGAAGAGGCCTCTCTCGGGAGACAGGTCTTAACCTCGTATGAGACATCGCAAGACACAGACAAAGGAAGAGGCTGGCTGCGGGCCATGACCACACACGCTGGGGGCAGAGGTTGCTACAAACAGGGTCATGGTGAGACACGTGGGAAGAGTAGTTCAAGGTGCGCCATGGGCCTGGCTCTGCCTTCTGCGGGTGCAAGGAGAAAAAGACTTTGCCAGGTTGGACAACTACAAGCTAGCTTTTGGCAGGGGTAGGCTTGAGGGTGTGACTCCATGTGACACTGTCAGGTAAGCAGCTGACCCTTCACCTCATGCTTAGGACTAACCAGATCCACGCTGAGCCATCGTCTGGAAGGTAGGGAGCCACAAGACTGGATCCCATCACTTGGACAAGGGGGTAGGGGCAGGAGGGACTGGAAACCGGGCATGAGTCAGACTGGAGAGAGCAGGACGCGACAGGGGAAGCAAGGGCCCTTCTTAAAGAAGAGTGGTAGTCTGAGTCACACCATGAGATCACAGGAAGACCACGGTGGATTTAACAAGAAGTCATGTTGACCTTGGCTAGGTCTCACGGTGACAGCCTGGAGGGGCTGGTTCCGGGGTGACTGATGATGCTTGAGGGGCGGGCAGGGGAGCAGTAGCACGCTGGCCTGGACCCTCACCTTTGTGTATTGATCCTCAGGCTACCAGACACTCGGAGAGGAGTACGTGGGGATCATCCAAGTGGACCCGTCCCAGAAGCGTGTGCCCTCCGGGCTCCGCCGTGGGGTGCTGGTTGCACTGCATGCTGTCTTGCCCTACCTGCTGGACAAGGCGCTGCTGCCCCTGGAGCAGGAGCTACAAGCCGATGGTGAAGGTGCACGGGCTTCACAGGGAAGTCTGCTGTCTGGAGGACGCAGCCGATCAGGGGCAAGGCGCTGGGTGCGTCACCATGTGTCCACCCTGACTGAACAGCAACGGAGGACGCTCCAGCGGACAGTCTTTATCCTCAGACAGGGCCTCGCCTGCCTCCATCGGTTCCATGTTGCTTGGTTTTATATCCATGGTGCCTTCTATCACCTGGCCAAGAGGCTAGCAGGGATCAGCTACGTAAGTAGCCATGCCAAGGGGGACTAATTATGGGCTGGGGCCCTCTGGGCAGCCTCTTTGAGACCCATGCTGATGGCATCATCACAGCCAACTGTGGTTTCCAAGTTGGAACTGAAACCCTGTGCTTGGGAAAGAGCACTTTGTTCAGTTGTATTTTCCTAAAAGTTCCAGGGAGTGCCGTTTCCAAACACTGAAAGTAGAAGCGAGTCCTTTCCTCCCTACAACCATCATGCATGCAGCAGCAGAGCTAGGCACGGACTGAGTGGACTTAGGTCTAGCTCCACAGTAGTTTTCATAGTATTGGCCTGTGGCTATGTCACTTCACTGCTTAGGGGGATGGTGTCAAGTGAAGGTTCTAGCCCACAGGTAGGCCTTTTCCGTTCACCCCTGCCTACAGCAGCCCTGCCAGAAAGGCAAGGTCTTGGGGCTTGGTCTGAGGAATATTCATTCAGTGGCCCACATCACCGTATCACACCACTGGCCACAGACCTTGGCAGTACTAAACCTTGTTGTTGCGTCTGGCTGCCTCTGGCCTCTTCACACCCTGGCTTTGTATCAATGCCTTGCATCCTATTACCCCACCCCACCCCAAAAAACCTCCTCTTAGGGATTAACTCCATGCCCGCCCGACACCCACCAGAGGTGTTCAAAGTTCCTGTCAGGGGGAACCACATGCCATCTTCCTCCAGTCAAACTACCCCTCCTACATACCCTCATCATACAACCATAGTCTGGTCTCAGGTTTAACCTCCCTCAGTGCTGCCAGACAAGGAGTTATCCAACAAAACTCTCCCCAGGAGTCACTTAGTTGAGCAGCTGTGCCTCTCTCCCTAATGGCTGCTGAATGTTAGACACTGGGTTTGTGACAGGGCCTGCTAGTCTGTGAGCCTGAGGCATAGTGTGCCCTGGTGTCATTTCCCTGCTAGTAAGGGTTAGGAGGTGGAGGACAGCAAGGCTCTGCTCTGTTGTGATGCGGATGGGAGTTGTATCACTAACTACAGCAGAGGCAAGGACAAGGTCTTGCCACAGGGGACTCAGTAAAGGGAACAGCATCTGCCTGTCCAGGTTTCCCTCACTATTCCCCATTCTACTCTTCCTCAAGCTCCTCCTCTTCCTCTGACATGGTCCCCAAACAGCTCCAGAATCCTCACCCATTTTCCTGGCCCATCTAAGCCTCCTGGCTCAGTTCATGTCTAATGCTTAAAGGTCAACCTATAATTTGGGTTCTCCCTGACTACTTAAAACTTGAGCCCATTTTCCTGGTTGGTTCTTGTTCTCTGAACACTCCCAGTGCTAAGGGGAGGCCTGGCTGAACCCCCAGCAGACAAGAGGCCAGGTCCTAGGGGGATCCTGATGGTGTCAGGGGTGGGGGGGTTACCTGTCTTAACAGCTCCGAACTCGACGCTTGCCTGGAGAGGACCTGAGAGCTCGTACAAGCTACCGACTACTGGGACTCGTCTCCCTGTTGCATCTGGCACTGTCCATGGGGCTACAGTTGTATAGCTTCAGGCAGAAGCAGCGAGCCAGGAAGGAGTGGAGGCTGCACCGCAACCTGTCCCACCGCAGGTGTGCAGGGGGCTTGAGGTACTTTGGCATGCCCTGAGATTGTGATGGATGCACTCACCTGAGTTGTGTCCTCGCCCCCATAGGAGTTCCCTGGAAGACAGAGCTGTTTGCAGAAACCCACTATGCACCCTGTGCTTGGAGGAACGAAGACACTCCACGGCTACACCTTGTGGCCACCTCTTCTGCTGGGAGTGCATTACAGAGTGGTGCAACACTAAGGCATGTATGCTCCCAGGCCTTTGACCCTGGGCAGTTATGCTACCCCACATCCCAGACCTCTCTGGAATTGGGTGTAGAGAGGTGGTCATCTTGTTAAAATGAATGAATCACCCTTGAGGTTGACGTTCCCAGTCAGAGGGAAGCTGACAGGTGCACAGATCAGGTTGCACTTAACCATAGGCTTGCCTTGCTTCCTGGTGTGCTCAGCACACTTAGGATGCTAGTGCATGTGCACACACCAAGCTGTCCCTGTGTGCCACTGAACCATTTCCAACAGGACAGGTGCCCAAAGCACACTGCTTCCTATAAGCAGCAGGGCCCTGGTTGGCCTGTCTAGCCAGTGAGCCGCTGCCCTGGCTAAAAGCCGGGGCTACAATCCAGAAGGAACTTTATGTGGCTGCAGCCCTGCTGTTAAGAAGTAGGCGTCCTGGGCTGCAGTACAGAAAACACAGGCATTCACACTGCTAAGTCAGCAGTTTACATAGTGGGTGTTCCCAGGTGCCAGCATGTGTAAGTGTGGAATGTATGTCCTCCTTCCTCATACAGATGGCAGAACAAGTACTGTCTCTTGAGAGGAGCAAGTACCTGGGTGCGTCTAAAGTTCTATAAGGGAGAGACCAGAATAGCACACATGGCCTGATGTCTTTTACTGATGGGAAGACATGACAGAGGCTCAGTCAGAAAGTAAAGCCCAGGAAAGGCACCAGAAATTCGACATTCATAGGTATCTAGGGTAGATGGGCACAGCTCTGCTGAGTCAGCACTGGCCCATACCTAACCCCACTAGGACTCAGACCCTGGAGGCTGTTTTCTGGTTGACTTACAGCTATGCATGTGTGGAACATGAAGAGATGCAATGGGGATCAGGGCCAGATACAGCAAACAGCTATTGTGACACACACCTCCCCCCCCTACAGACAGAGTGTCCCCTGTGCAGGGAGAAGTTCCCACCCCAGAAGCTGGTCTACCTGAGGCACTACCGCTGACCGGGACAGATCATCACCAAACAGCTCCAAGAAGTGGATGGAAGTTCACAGAGTTTATCCTCAGAACTGTGGTTGTACAGAAATATAAAATCCTCACTGTTGTCATGTAAGCTACTAGTTACCTGGGAAGAGCAAGGGTCGGGGCAAATGGACAATACTGCATATGGGACAGGAGAGTTTATTGCCCCTTATTTATTATGACTTCTTCTGAGTCTCCGGAGGTGGTGGGGCCCTTCCCTTCCCAAGCCACACTGTTGAGAACTGCTTCACAAGTTGGGGGTGTTTTGCTCAGGTCTGTATGAGAGGCAGGGCCGAGGGTTAGGTTGGAAGTGCAGCACTACAGCGTGGGCTCCACACCCACAAGTCAGCACTCCTCCTAACGCACTTGCCACATGCTTATTAACTCGTGTCCCCAACTCCTTAAGGAAATGAAGGTCTCCATCTGGGCCTAATGGGTAGGAATGGGGGCTCGCTGAGTTACAGATCTTTTTTTTTTCAATTGTATGAAGGTGGGCACATGCCACGGCACATGTATGGAGATCAGAGAACAACTTGCAGGGGTTGGTTCTTTTTATGAAGTGTTTCAGGGCGTAAGTTCAGGTTGGGCTGGGCAGCAGCATCTTTACTTGTCAAACATCTCGCCGACCTGGCAGAGTTGGCTTGAATGAGTTTTCTCCTCTAAACCAACTTCCATGTGTCCTGAGATACTAGTCCTCTAAGGAAGTTTGGTGAGTTGAATCTGCTTGGAGGCCTGGATGAACAAGTGTGACCTGCTTATCCAATGTCACTTATGTGTCCAGTTCCCTCTTGGCTTGTCCCTAGCTTCTTGCCTCCATTTGACATTTCCAAGCTGACAAAGACAGTCTGGAATATCTTTAAGAGACTAATTCTACAGAAAAGGTACATTAAGAACAGATCCAGCTGGGCAGTGGTGGCACACACCTTTAATCCCAGCACTTAGGAGGCAGAAGCAGGTGGATCTGAGTTCAAGGCCAACCTGGTCTATAGAGCAAGTTCCAGGACAACCAACCAGGGCTACACAGAGAAACTGGGTCTCAAAAAAACCCCAAAAAACAAAGACAAAAAAAAAAAATCTAGAAAGACTTCATAAAATAGTGTGAAGATATCTATAATTAGTGAATAGGGCTGAAGCCCAGCCACCAGCAATGGTGTTTGATGTCACAATGTTCCTTGACAAGGTCCCCTTACCAAGAGCAGGAACCTTTCCTCTAGGGGGAGCAGGGGGCCAAGACTGACACAAAGTAACTTCAGGGACCCTATGGGAAGACAAAGTTCCTGTGGGAACCTGGAACACAATTCTGCAGTCATCTAGAGTACCCCATTTGTAAATCACTGCTCTGGCCAGGTACACCCAACTTTCTTTCCATCATCTGTTGAGACTAGTCAGTGATATGGAAAATATAAACAAAAATGTCCAGATTTGAATCCACATGCTCACGTAGAAAAGAAACTTAGAACATCGTTAGAAAATGACAGGTTGAATGTACAAAATGTGGCCTAAAAGGACCATCATAGTGTCAGCAAAAGGATCCTAGATGACTGACTTACTCAGCATCTAAAATTGTAGGATGGATGAGAAACACAACTAAGGAGAGTTCTGAAGAGGTCACAGCCTGGGAGAAAAAGCCTACTTGCACCTGACAGCCTCTCTCCCTCCTATGCCTATGGTGTCTGCTCTGTCCTGGTGCTCCTTGGCACAATGGCTCCCCTCCTACAGCTGTAAACAGCAGGGTGTGCTTCAATGAGATGACTAGTGGTGCAGACGGAGACTACACAAGCAAGGGACACTTTCTTTAATAAAGTTGGAATTTAAAAGTCACTTAGTAAAATGTTTAAAGAGTATTATTTTATCACATCAAAAAGTTTGACATGCGAGGGCTTCTTTTTTTCCCCATAAAAAATAAAAGGCCATGTGACAAACCCCAAACCTGGTGTGCTCTAGCTAGTTCTGGTTCCTTAGAAGTTGTTGCATGAGAACAAGTTTAAATTAATCAAAAGAAAAATATGTTACGTATCAAAGGAAAGTGTCAAAATAATCTCAAACAATTAAAATATAATATATATTTATAATTCCAGGCCCTCAAAAGCAATCATGGTAGTTAAGAACAAAGTTTTGAGTCATTATGATAGAGGCCAACTTGAAAAACATCTCTAGTGAGATGAGATTCAGAAACTGGCATGAGAACCCCACAGAGATATGTGAAAATCACCATCAAAGTGTTACATTCTTTTTCACACACAGGAAGCAGGCTGGCATGTCCCTCTGGCACAGAGGAGTGGCCTCAGCGTGGTCAGGAAGGCAGGGCTGCACTCCCATCCTCCCTCCCGCTCTCTTGAGCTGCCACCCGCCTGACCTCCCAAGCCTACAGTTCACTATAATTCTGTCCACTTCAAACACATGAACATCACTGAAAAAGAAATCAATGCAATTTGGTTTAAATGCCAGTTTCTTCAAGAACCTGATATTTCAGATACAAATCATTGAGGCTCCTCATAAAAAGAAAATTCAACTTCCTCATAATCAACTACTTTATGTGAAGAAAAAGGCATTGTTACAATGGCTCAAAACCGTTCTTGAATACGTGTGACAGATTCAGTCCAGCTTCTAACTAGCAAATGTCTTGCCCACGTCCTCCTTCCCTTTGTATCTCCTCTTTCCGTGTGTGAATGGTATGTACCGGTATTTAATCATGTGCTGGGAAAACAAACACACAAACAAACTTGAGTTACTTCAGAACAGTTTCCTGCTTAGCCCTTCCCTAGATCTGAATAACCAAAGGCACCCCTCCTCTGCTTCTGCCTATCACAACTGATGTTGTGGGGTTAGCGCTGTGCTCCATAGGCTCTGACACACTAGAGGCCTGTCTGAAATCCCAACATCCGGAAAGCATTTCACGAGCCTGTTTACAAAGAAATAGGGAAAGCACAGGAAGGGTGCAGCTACACCACCAATCTGAGGCTGTGCCAAAACACTCTAGCAGGCTACCACAGGACCTTGAGCTCGGAGCTAGAGAGCCACTGAGGCACTGCAGGCCCAACCTGGCCCTACCCAGGGCCTTCCTACTCAGCTGTCAGCAACCTTTGAGGAAGGACCTGCGCTCACAGGGGCTTGTAGTCTGGGACTCAGTGGCCTTGGCCAGAGGCCAAGCACAGATCAGTCATCACACACAAGAGGCAATGCCCAGCACTAAGACCCGAGCATGCTTTCCCAGGGACACTGCAGTCACGGGCTGGTAGCCATCACCTTGCATAGCAGTGCTGCTATCTTTACCTTTATTTGCCTCTTCATTGTGATACAGAAAAGCATGATGAAGTACATCACCAGGATCGGCCAGAACACTGGAACGTTAAAAGCCTCGAAGAAGGTACAGATCATAGCCACAAGAATGCCTTTTGTAGCTGCATGCCTTAAAGCAAAAGGAGAAATTAATATGGCCTGTAGGTAGCATCAGGCACCTGTCCACCCGTTCTGACCTCCACAAACACCCCTGCCTTTGTCTGATCAGATGTGACTACTAGAGATATGTCTGGAGTAATGTAGTGTCGTCACAGCCTGTGTGTACTACACTGAACCACAACCAAGTCCTCTCAGCCTTCTGAAAGCTAAGGCTTCTTAAACTCATGCAAAGTAAAACACCCCAGCTAAAGCCAAGGCACCTCATGTTTGCACCTGGAACTACCATCTGAAGCAATAACCTAGGCCCTGGGCCTGGCAGTGGGAGTCTTGAGAAAACACAGTGCCATCCCACCAGGGCACACAGCCCTGCCACCGTCATCACACCTCTAGGCAGGCTCTAACCCTGAAGCCCCCACAGGCTCTTCTTTCCTACAGAACAACATCTAAGTTCCTTGGGGGCTTCTTGTCCACCTTCTGTTTCCTCTCCCAGATCATATCCCACGCTATTGCTCCATGCACAGCACCAGAGCTGCAGAGTCAAGAACTCAGTTTGCTCACTCAATTTACTGAGCCAATAAAGACTTTGGCTCCTTTGGTCCTCCAGGGGCAGATGGTTCAAAAGACAGGCCAAGAGGCCACAGTTTTGACCTTTTGACAGACGGTCATAAAAGGAGCTACACTATACCTACTTATATGTATGCCATTACTCTCTTCCTGGTCTCTCAGCACCTCCAAGGTGTCTGCTCTGTGAAAGGCCTAACCTTCCCAGGGTGGCCTTGAATGAACAGGCACAGGGCCTGGAAAACAGCTCTTAAGACCCTTCATTCTGGAACCATCATCATCTAGTAACTCTAGACTACTGTGCCAACACAAGAGAAAACACTGTCCAGTGGTGGTCCTGTGACCCACTCCATACCCAAGGCAGCTATTACCTTTTAGATTAATGCACACAACATGCAAACAAAGCACAACAAAATTCTCATTTTGTTAAAAACCAATAACTAAGTGGAACAAAACTGGTCTATTTTCATAGCCCAAGTATCTTCCACAAAAGCCTTGAAGAAATAAAGGGATGACTGTTCAGGAGAAATGACTTCCAGGTGTAGACAAGAAGGTAAGCAGTGGGCAACAATGCTGGATTTCTTTACAATACCTAACCCTGACCATTACACAACGTATGTGTGCCAAAATGTCACTCCACATGCACCATATACGGACAATTATTTTGTGCTTGTAAAAATAAGACATATAGATAGATATATGTATTTTACTGTTCAGTAGAAAAAAAATCACTCACCAAAATTTGAATTCTGGAAGCCTTCGAATGAAGGGACGAAACTCCTCATTCTGTTTGGTTGGTAATGAAGGACCGTCATCTGAAAGTTAGAGCACCAGCTGGAGATGAAATATCAGCTTCTTACCTTTGGATCTCTGCCCCCACTTACAAGTCTTCCCTAAATGCTTCTGAACTGTGCCTCACACATGGCAACAAACTGCATTCAGCCAGATAAAGTGTGGGGTCTGCAGGCAACTCCCAGTGAGACTTGTTTTATAAAAGACTTGTGCACTCTTTAAGCGCATAATTCAACTTCACACAGATTTTTCATTTGTTGTACTATATAGTTATATAAATTAAGACAAACTGACATTTACATGAAACAAGCAGAAAAGAGAGAAAGTATGCTATGTAGTGGTGCATGCCTCTAATCCTACCACTTGAGAGGCAGAAACACTATGAGTTCATGGCCAGCATGGAGTACACAGAAATCCATTATCACAATAAAATAAGAAGTGTCACTGAGATGGCTCAGCAGATAAAAACACTTGGCTGCCAAACCAACAATCCCTGGCACCCACATGGTAGGAGAAAACCAAATCCTGCAAGTCCTCTGATTTCCACATGTGACATAAACATTAAAAAAAAAAAAAAAAAAAAAAAACGGGTGGTGATGATGCACACCTTTAATCCCAGAGGTAAGCAGATCTCTGAGTTCAAGGCCAGTCTGGTCTACAGAACAAGTTCCAGGACAGCCAGGGCTACACAGAGAAATGCTGTCTCTAAAAAACAAAAAACGAAAAAAGGAAAAAACAAATGCAGGCAAGACTCTCCTTGTCCACAAAACCTATGGAGAGCCTATGCACCAGGACTACCAAGTGCAAGGCCTCTTTTCATCTATCCTGGAATCTACAGGAAATGCTACCAAGTCTCGCTAAATGGCGACAGGCTTCTAATCATCCAATCTTAAATCAGCATTGGAACAGTTCCTCCAAGGAAGCAGAATCCCTGTTCGCTGTCAGCCACAATCCAAAGTTGGCCTCACCTGGGGACAACATAAACCCATAAGCCTGGTACAAAAACACACCAAGAACATTTCAACTCAGAAGCCAGGGAGCAGTCAATACCCTCAGCCTGGAGTAGTTCCTGGCAACCGGGGTCCTACTGATCTGTGCTACATTTCTGCTGTACACTTCTCTATTTTTCTGATCACACCAGAGGGTGCCTAACAGTGGATTCTGAGGCAGGAAGCAGAGGAGCAGACCCCCGCCCTGCTCATGTGTGCTTTGCTTGCAGTGTGACTTGGGATGTGTTATTTAACCCCAGTACTTCAGTTTCTCCCTAAGCAAAATGGAGATAAAGAGTGAACCTTTTCACAGCTGCACAGGGTTTAATGAGTAATCCTATAGACAAATTCATCCGGATCCAGACATCACAAGCACATACAAATATCGCAAGCCCAGGTCCAAGTGTTCTCAAACCCATGGACTGTCCCAAAAGAATGCAGAGGCACAGAGCAGCAGCCTGGATGGCTCCCCAACAGCCCCCACAGTACCTGAGTCTTCCATCAAGGAAGGGTCCACTTTGGGAGAGAGAAACGCTATGAAAAGGTTTAGGTGGTAAATTCCCAAGGCATAGGTCACAATGTACCAACCCTGGAAGAGAAGGAAAGCCATCATGAATGAGCAACCCAGCCACTGCCAGCTGGAACCAGTTCACTAAGCCTAGACCCATGAAGTCCTGTTGCACTGTGAACACAGTTTACTCAAGGTGACATGGTGAGAACTTACCTCAACTTACCTATGACCCAGATAACAAACTTAAAGGGTCCAGCTAAATGTGCATGACAATCAGTCCTGACCAAGACTAGCTATGGCAGAAGAGAAAGCTTTCCTCAACAGACACACTGCCCTGCCCCACAGGGCTAATGTGGGCTGGGCGCCTGGGTGACATTCAAGTGTACTCCTGGCCTCAAAATCTGCTGTGAGCAAACCGGTTCACAAGGAGTCTACAACAGAATGCCAGCTATCACTATACACACGGCAGCTGGCAGTCCTCTGTAGACAGCCTTAAAACACTTCACTTGGAGAGTCGGCCTCCTCACAGAGGAGAAAAACCCAGAACCAGACCCAGGAAATCAAGAAAA